AACTTGTTAAACATTTGCAGTACCAGCAGGTGATGATAACATCGCTACTGACAACATTAGAATTCAAAAGAACAAGGCTAAGCATTGTTAGACTGGAGATTCTCTCATACCCACACAGGGTTAAGCAGATGTGGTTTTAACATGTACATCATGCTCTACATATAAAACCATTGTATTTAGTAATATAATGATTTTTTAAATTAAATTTCCCAAAGAGTTCAGCTAATGTTGGTAAGTTTTTCTCTGCTTTGACATGCCTCGTTGACAGTTCGTCTAGTAGTTTGATTCGGTTCCAGTAAATCATGTGATGGTGCCCTGTATCAGAAGCTTAACTTTTTGTTTTGAAGATTGTACATTTTTGTTATGTTCTTTTATCTGTTCTCTCCCACACACACACACGCACACACACACACACACACGCACGCACACACACACACACACACAGATGTCTGGGAAAGATGTGCAGAGCAGGTCAATGTTTTAAAAACACTCAGACAGGAAGGTTGAGTTGTAAACACAGTCTTTCTTTCACTCTTAACCTCATTTCAAAAAGCACAAAATTTCAGATTTGTTAGTTTAACAAAATAACAGGTACAGCCTGCAATGTGACTTTATGAGCAATGTAACTGAAAATGCTGAGTTTGTAGTGAACTGCCAACTGCACACCAACAAGCAGAAGTCTGAGTTTTGCCATGGACTCTGATCAACTAAAACACAATCAGGACATCACTAGTTTCAACTTCACATCTACTAGTTTTTCCTATTTTACCTGTTTATTTCAGGTATTTGAATTTCAACAAATATTTATGTAAGGTTTGCTGCTTCATGACTAAGCAGTTATCATTTGCTTACATCAGAAGTACTTTGTGGATTTTATATACTTTCAGCTGGAAAAAAGGTCAACATGGAGGCTTTTTTCCTCGCAGCTGGGCTTTGTAAAATATTTGTTTTTATGTTGCAGCAAAGAGTTTGTTAAGAGAATGAGGAATGTGTTTATCGTTGACTGATCAACAGTATCTTTGTCGGTTGTTTAAAACTAACTTAACAGTGTTTTTATGAGCTAAATGCCAGAGCTGGATGTTGAACTTCCCCTAAATGAATTATATTATATAGTACTAAAAGCAGATCCTAAAATCTACAAACCAAAACATACAAGGGAAAAAAAGATTAAAATATAATGTTATGCATTTACATAACCATGTCAGTTTTCTTTCCTTTTGGGTTTTAGCAGAATTTTAAAAGGATTTTGCATGTAAATCTTGCAAATAAATTCCAGCAATTCCTGTATAGTATTTCATTGTAGCAACTACATATCCGATCATCAAAAGTGATGGAATATTAGCATACATCAGAAGAATATTGCACTTGAGTCATGTGCTATTTTTTTTTTTTTTTTGCCCTGCTCATATTCTTTCATGTGCCCTGTACTCAGCATCTTTGATCAGTTTAGCCTTCAGAGACATTGATGTGTGAAGTCATTCATTACTGTAATTCAATTTGGAGGTACCCGACGGTAAGGGTTTACAATTCAAATTGTTAAATACCAAGTTTGAGTGTGAGCTGAAAGGTCCTGGCTAGGGATTTGGTGTAATTTAAGCTTAGAGTTCAAAGCAAAAACATTGAACAGGACATCCAAAGTACTGTAGGTGTAAGGAACAAAAAAAAAAAAAAAATCAAAATACACTAAAGTTCTGAAACAAAAACTTTGAGCAAGTACATAAACTATAAATAGAGGGTGAAAGATTGAGAGAGAGAAGTGAAACATGTTCAAACCATAAAAAGCTGAAGGTACACTGTTTCAGGCAAAAGAAAGACAAAAATAGGTAAAATGTAAAAAACAAGGTCACACAAACACATAGATACAAGAGATTTTCAGCAAAAAATGAACAAAAGAATTGTACAAATCTGGAAAAAGGAAAATACATTAAGTTGTTTTTAGCAGCGCATATTTTGAAAAACAAAATGTTATTAACCTCACTTTTTTGTGTTTTGTTTTTTTTTTTTTGTATATAATCCTTACAGCTTGCCTTTTTCTGTTGCTAGAGCTAACATGGTTAAAAGACAGATTCCAAAACTCAATCACAGACATAGCAGGGGGCCAGAGACTCCTGGGACCCCCCTCTTCTCTGGCAGAAAAGCGGGGCCTGCGCCTGTCTCCACCCTTTTTCTTTTCAGTCAGTGCGTCATTTGCGGCAGGCTTTCAGGGCTCCGTCACAAATCTTTTCGAAGATGCTCCCATTGTTCGCGTTGCAGCATTATGAGATTCCTTTGTGTGCGTTTCTCTTTGCTCCCAGAAGACTTCAATGAATCTTGAAAGCAGCATAGGTTGGCAGTGGTGGGATCTCTTTATTTTAGCTTTTTGTTTTGTGTTTTTTTTTTCTTCTGCTAGGTAATTATGTGAATAATTCCTCTTTGTTTTGGCCTTTCTCTGCTGAGGGTTCGGCGTGCGATTAATTGGTAGCGTGAAGGACCGACCAATTTTAAATCACAAGGGAGGGACCTGTGGGTCTTGTTTTATTGGCTGTTTTTTCTTCCTTTGGTTGGGACAGCATGCGGGTGGAGCATCTGAATTAGATTAAATTTAATTAAGGCATGGGCCCCCTGACTGCAGTGGTACATTACAAAGGCTGTATGCCAGGATAGTTGTTGGTAGGTATTCAACAATGTGTGCGAACACAGTTACTCACACACTGAAGAAGCTCCCTGAGGCCCTCAAGGTCAGATAGACAGAGGAAAAAAGCACTGTGTTGTCTGAAAGCAAAGACAAACACAGAAAATCAAGATTTATCATTTGTAAGGGTGCTTGTTTTTCCACACTGTACTCTCGGGGGGGGGAAAAATGTGCAACATACATATTATTTATTTATCAAGGCAAAAGAAATATCTCATTGAAATATAATATTTCTTTCAAGACAGATCTCAGCAATTGCATCAGGCTTTTAGTGACAGTTTAATAGCATTTGTACATATTCACAAACAAATCACTCGTGATCTATTGAAATGACAAAAATAAAGCAACCTTTATTTCATGTCAGCGTAAGAAATATATCTGCGTATGTCTCATGATTAGATTTTATTTAATCAGCAAGAATTAGTAACCAATATTAAGAAGCAGCTTTAAAACTAATACATTTTGTAATGATTAGCAAACCAAACTAACATTAACATAATAAAATGATTGCAATTTCAGTACAGGAATATGCTGTTGCCCAAATCAGAAAGGTGGAGTCTTAGCCAATCACAGCTCTCTTACACAGCAAAGTCCGATATGAGGATACTTATAAATCAGTGAGAGGAACTCAGTCATTTGGGGCATTTCTCCTAAAGTGATGAAGCGAGTTTGCTCAATCAGATGGAAGAACCATGAAATACTTTTATCTGCTAGTTGTAACAGTAAAGTAGGAAATCGTTAAAAGCTGATTTAATTGCTTATCAATATTTGACCTCAGTGTGGTTTACTTAAAATGATCTGCTTCTATATTACAGTTTATCGATCAACACTAACATAAGCTTTAAGTATTTTATTTTTAAAACTTTCAGCTCATTTTTTACCTTGGTGCCAACAATTTGCTTCGGAAAATTAAAGATCGGTAAGAAAAAAAGTAAGTAAGAAAAAAAAAAAAAGTTGATTGAACATGTCGATTTCCATAAATCATGTGGATCGCTGTCTTCGGTTGTCCATGTGGAACGAAATGCATAAAGCGAATAGCAGCTTGGTTTTGTATTTTGCACTACATTAAAGGTTCTTTGGAAACTCCATGTGCATGATTTCAGCTCCAGTGCGTAAACAAACCGTATACTACCTTCAAAAGCCTTCAAAGTGACAAAGTGGATCAAAATGAGTCACATTGGTCTGCTTTATTTTGTTTTCCCTGTTCTCGCTGCTCTTTAAATGTGGAACTGGTTCAAACGCCGTTTTATTTATAAGCCCATAAGTGTATCCATGCCTGCGATGATTCAAAAAGCTGCAAGATGGCTTCCTGCTCGCAATTTTCCTGCTATCAAATCCCTCCAGAAGGAAATGTTTTTTTTTAGACTACTGATTTAAACTTGAGATTTCCTGTAATGGTCATTTCCTGGCAAGCATTCTGGGTAATATCCTCGACAGCCTGCTTGATGGCTGGTAGACAGAGACTGGTTTACGTTCCAGGCGATGCACATGAACTTTTAAGTAGCACCACAGAAGCCTGGACGACGAAGCTTAGAAAGCCTCCATTAGAGTGTTTTTAAGCTTTTTTTATGTGACGTGCAGACGTTTGATGTTCGCAGTCCCCTGAGGCAGAAGTTTAATTTGAAGTGAAACGGCAACTGTAAAATACTTTTATGCAGCTCGTTCCTCATTAGCACATGCTTTCTGCAGCTCTGTAATAAATAAGATTCCTTCCCTTCGCTCTTCTTCTCTGCTTAATACAACAGTGGTGTCGGCTGATAAGCTGAAACACCATTTACACGAGCCCCATGCCAAGTGCCTGATTGAAATTCTCTCACTGTAATATCAGTCAGTGGAAATGTTTAAGTGCTATTCCCTCATCCTATCCAGGATAATAAGCTGCAGTGCTCTCTGGCTTTATAGTCGTCCCTCTCCTCCTTTAAGCTAGTAGTTTGGCTCGCTCTGAGTTTGTTCCTCCCAGCCCGAGCTTTCATTGTGGCCAATAAGTTTCCTGCACTTCCAAGTGTTTTTCAGAGTCCTTATGTGACTGTGACAAACATGGTGGTGTGTGACAGCTGCCGGTGTTCTGCAGGCCATCTCTCATCGTTGATGCGGAGCAAGTTGCATTCGATATCAGAGTGCTGGGGGTGGCTTTGTCCTCACAAAGACTCATTTACTTTCTGTCTCTGTTCTGGTTCCTTCATATTAGCCCTCAACAAGTCTCAGCAGTGATCCATGACTTGTCCTTTATGTCTCATGGAGCTCATTGGGCCTCACCTCTCATCTCCAAGAGGGGCTTTTGTTATTGAATCGCGCAGGATATATTTCAAAATGATTGTGAAAACAATTTACTGCTTTGTATTCACGGCTGTCTCCTTCGCTCCCGTCTCTGTTCCCCCCGGCTCGCTTCATCTTCACGCCTCATCTTCCTGTTTCCTCAGCCTCTGTATCTAAATCCTTCCTTCCTACCCTACAGCATTCCTGTTTATATCAGGAAACATACGCTATCATCTGTTTTCTCTTCTCCTTTTTCTTCCACACAGAAGCTCCTGGCTTTGTGACACTGGACCACAGTCTGCGCTATTACCCCAGCATCACATACGGTGTCATCGGCAGCGCCATCATCTTCGTCCTGGTGGTGGCCCTGTTGGCCTTGGTGCTTCATCACCAGAGGAAACGGAGCGTCCTGTTGCCCAGGAGCGTAAGGGGGAGCACGCATCACCACCAGCCCCTCCTGCTGTCCCGACTGGTCATCCTGGACCGGGGTCACGCTAATGCCAGAGGTCTGGGTCTCAGCCCCGGCTCCAGCAGTGCTGCGGGCCAGTACACCGCAGCTCCTCAAGCTTTCCATCTGCTGTCCGGGGCCATGTATCCCTCCTCAGTGTCCTTAGACTCGCCTCCCTCTTACTCTGAATCGGTTCTGGATGTCAGGTAAATGAACGTTCTTGGCATTTTGCACTTTAAAATCTGTTTTAGTAAAATACAACAGACAGCTCGCCTGTTGTAAAGTACAACTAGCCTATTATGAAGTTTATTCGACTACATAAGCCGAATAAACAGACTTGTATAGCCTGTTCCCCCCGGCTCTTCATCTCCACAGCTCATCTTCCTCTGTGTCTAAATCTTTCCTGCCTACCCGTCGAATAAACAGGCTTATAAATAGCCCTTTTATTTGAGGGCTGATATTTGAACAATAAGAAAAAGTTTTACAAGATTAAGGTTTCCTAAAATATTTTCCAGACATATGTTGTTGTTTTTTTTACTTATTTCTTCTTTTGTATAAAAAAAAGCACCTCTTGTTTAATTTTCGTAGTGATTTGACAAAGTTTTCACACTCGTTGAAGTTTTATTACATACTTTATAACCACAAATAATAGATTTTTATTGGGATTTTGTCTACAGACTAATGCAAAGTATTGCATAATTGTTAAGTGGAACAAAGGATGAGGAAGGTTCTCAAAATCCTTTGCAAGAAAATGTAACAATGTAACAATGTATTTAGCATTTTAAAACATATATGAAAATAAGAACAGATAGTGTGTGTATTTGCACTGACACAAAATATGCTTTCAATTGACTGCACAACCTTTTTATATCATAACTACGAGTCCGGAGCCACAATGGACCTGGACTCCTCTGATTAACACTCACTGTTCAGTTCGATTAGATGTTGCTTACAGGTATGAAAGTAAAGGGAGATAAATACATAAACAAACCACTTTTTTCATTTAGGTAATTGAAATAGATTTCGAAAACCATGTGTCATTTTTCTTTCACTTCCCATTTATATGGTACTTTTTATTTGTTACGTAAAACTTAATTGAAGTTTGAGGTTATAATGTGAGACAGTACGAAAAGGTTGATGCCGTATGAAAACTTTTACAAGGCACTCTGTGTAATTGCTCTGTAAAGCCTCAATGTGCTTTGTTTCTCCCTAGTCGGCCTCCTTGGTTTGACCTCCCCCCTCCGCCTTACGTCAAAGACAGCGAACTTTCTTCAGAGGGAAATCTTCCTCAGTACGACGATCTGCAGGATGGTCTGAGCCATCGCACGTCGCCGGGCTCTGCATCCCCACCTCCCAGGATGCTTCCCCCAGACTCGCAGACGGGTCCCAGTCCTACGGAGGAGTCAGACCAGCTGTAGCCCCGTCATGTGTACTGATTGGACTTTGGACAGTCAAACAGCTGGATTCACTAATCCAGCCATATAGAGCTGTCAAAGACTAAAGGACAGTCCTAAATAAAGACCCTTAGGAAAAGATTCGGGAGAGTTAATCAACTTCAAAAGGGTCCAAAACTGGCTGCCTTCACTTTCAGCCTGCTGAAGCTCCAGCATTTCTCCTGTAGACTGAACCTGTGTGCTGGTTCCCTCTGCTGGCCTGATAGGTTAATTACATTTCAAAGTGTTCAGTTGGTTTTAATTCAGTTCCTTGAAGACATTTTATCTATTATACTTTACCAGTGAATATACTGAAGACTACAAAGAAGAAATCAACTGCTCGTCTTTGTTGTGGTACACTTCTGATTAGCGTAGGATGAGTTTTGCTATATTTTAAAATACTCCACAATGTGCCTATTTGCATTTAAAAATATAATTAAATCAGATTTAGCTTAAATTCCCAGTTCATCAAATGAACCATCATATGAGACATACAGACACAAACTAATACCTTGCTGCTTGTTTGAAACAATTTCAAACAGATCAGCTTAGGCTTTTTTTTTTTTTTCTTTTAACTCATTAAATATTTTCCTTTGTGTCTCATCTTGCCATTTAGTTAAATACCAATAACAATATGTAATAGGACCACCTATGTTTTAGGAGACGATGTTTGTACTTGATGTTCTAAAATCATTCCTCTAAGCAGAAGAACCGAGACGTTTTGATCCTGTAAGACCAACAGGGTTCAATCTGCTTTATATTCCATAAGAATGCAAAGGGGAAAATGTGGTTTGACAAAATATGTTATTGCTTATTTGATTTTCTAAAAGAATTTTACTTTTAAAATTTCTACTTTTAAAATAGAAAAAAGTTCTTTATTTTTTTTTTTTTTTCAATGATTTAGAAACAAATTAAATTGTCAAATCCCAGCTTGAGTTGAACATTTTAGCCATCGGTACAATATATATATATATATATATATATATATTTTTTTTTTTTTTTTCCTTCCATTTCAAGGATGGGACAAGTAATAACACAAACAGCCATTAGATTCTATACTACCTTTTTTATTTTCTTTCAAATTTGGAACAACAGCTGGGTGTGAAGTAGAAAAGGCATTAGTCTGAAATGCACATGTAAAGAAATTGTGCACAAGACAAAACAAATCAATCTATTTAAAACAGAACACTACTTAGAATGTGAAGTAAAATATGATTGTGTTGTAAGATCTTCTAGGTCTCATTTGTACCTTCCTTTCCTTTTATAATGCAATTAATTCTGGTACAAAAGCAAATGAAACCAAATATATGAATACTAAAAGTTTACCAATAAAAGAAACAACTATGTGTTTCTAATTTTATCACCAAAACGACTGCAAATGTTTGATTGGGTGAAACTGGACATGAGTCTCAGGTCGAATTCCCACCAGTGCTGATCTCGGTTTTAATTTGAGGGTTTGTTGTGATCAAGTCCTTCTTCATTTCTGATTTTTAGTCCTAACTTTATCTATCCACACAAATCCCACATCTGTGAAGTTTTCTTTCATGATTTCTTTGTTCTATGTAGTGTGTACATTTGAAGTAAAACAAATTTCCGATTCATATCCTGAGTTGATATTTCTTTTTTTCTACTGTCAAACTAAATGTCTTATTGTTTGTTGGTCAGGCTTTTCTCTTGACCAATAGCTTAGAATCATGTACTTAAGATACTAAATTATCCATAATCAGCGTGTTAAAGCTCCAGTAATAGAGACTGATTAGATAAAGGGTTGTCAAAGTTTATACTCTGAAGCGGAATACTGCTTTCGCTTATTTGAACTTACACCAGTATCCAGATAAAAAGAACGAGAAAGAGAGGCTGTACAGATCTACTGTAGTCAGCTGCTAGAACTGACTACAGTAGATCTGGATGTCAAAAGTGATGTCAGCATTAACATAATTTGACTAGTTGGTTTGGTGGGGGGTTGCAAGTATTCATTATATTACATTATATTATATTATATTATATAAAGCCTGCAGATCTGTTCTGGTACAGATAATTTTACTTCAATTCAACAATTGAATTACTCAAAAACGTGTTAGATTCTAACTACTGAGTTGAAGTTTAGACACAAGGAGAGTTTATCAACTTCTATTTTGTTAATAATCAAATGAAATGTTAAAACATCTGCACAACCTACACTTCATAAGCAGATCAACAACATGTGCATTTCACAGAACCAGCTTGCCCAAACATTTAACTTCTACAAGCTCAAATTGAGCAAATTCAGATGCACATTATTAATAGAGATGTAGTTTCACAGCTTTTTGTGTGCACAAGAAAAGCTTTGTAGGTGGAATGAAATCCCCGTCAGGAAAGACTCCATACTCACCAGTAACTTTACTGTTTCCTCCAGGTCAGGGAGAGAGAAATGAAGTGCTTTGTGACTAAAGCAGTTAAACAGTACTGAAATGGTAGAAAAAAAAATATTCAGTGTAATTATGGAGCATGTAAAATGGGATATCTGGTGAAACTAAATATCAATTCAACAGAAACCAAATTAAGTCAAAAAGTTATTGTATTATTATTATTATCATTATCGACTGTTTGGGTGGCTTAACCAAGGGCATGCAGTTCCAAAACTTTCCTATAGATGTCACTAGGTCACCATCCAGGATAAAGTTCAGTAAACCAGGATGTCAAAGGGACGCCTGTCTTGGATGTTTTTGGATGTTTAGCACATTAGTTTTTGAACATTTTACCCATTGTTTGCTTTGCTTTTAAAGGGACAGTATCTATTAAGCTGTTTGTTACAACAATTTGACTTTAAATTTGTCTTCTGATGTATAACATTGAGGGTAAACGTCTACTCCATGTGTCTCACATTCAGTTCTGAATCAAACAGCGTTTAGCAGCCGCCTCAAATTTGCATCGTAATGATCCCCTTATAACCTCCCATCTCCTTTTGCCATTCCCACCCTAATATCCGCATCACATTAAGACACATCAGATAGCATGATACCATCTTTGACTTCCCTGCCTGTTCCCTTTGCTTGGGTTTCCCGTCACTTTATCTGAACATCACTTCATTCGAACCCTTTATTCCAGCCTGCTCGTCCTTTCCCCCCCCTTCATCCAAGCACATAACTCATTTTCATCCCCTTTATACCCCCCTCTCCATTTTCTAAAATTATCCAGTCTTCTCTGGACACTGCACTCTTCTTTACCTCATCTTAAACTCTGATGCTGGAGGCCCATGTTTGCTTAGCCTGAGCCCTTAACTACACAGACTTTAATTAAAAGCCTGCACACTTCTTACTCTGCCTGTTGTACACTTTTTCTTTATGACAGCTGGTGCACAAGCAGGATGGGAATCGTGCTATACTGCAAAGTATAACCTATTGGTCAGTCATGCTCAATAGGCTATATTGAACATGACTGACCAATAGTCAGTCATGAATGTCATGTTATGTTAGTGAAAGGAGCACTAATGTAAAATAGAAGCAATGATAAACCAAGATAAGGTGAGAATCATCAAGATAAGAATTATTTCTATCCTTCAAACTGTAATAGGTAATTTTTATTTTAAAAAAAAATGTTTGTTTGCTTGTTTTTTACATATTTGTTAAAACTGTCACTATGCCATGACATAATATGAAATAGATCATCTGTAAAAACTGACCTCTTTTGCCTTTTCCCTTTGGTCCTTCTGTCATCTGCAGAAATAAACCACTTAGACAGACAACCAATCAGAGCCAGGAGGAGTAAATGAGATAACATAAAAGGTACAATAGCCTGGTTGCAAAAGTGTTCATATTGATAATTAAATTGACCTCCTTTCGGTTCGCTTCCAGCATTCAGTCTTTTTGGCTTCCCATCTGCCATCAATTATAGTCTTGCCAATACTTTCCTAATTGGACTTTCCTGACATTTGCTCATTTTCACCTTTTATCTTAAAGCCACAGTTTTCAGATTGCTTAGAAAGGATTGAAATGATTTGGTTGTACAAATGCTATCAGATATCAGTTGGAAAAATGACACCAAAAATCCACTCCGAGTCTCTCCGAGGCGGTCATAATGTAATAAGTCTGGGGACAGGTTTAAAGGAGCTGAAGACTGATGCACAAGCATTCTAAGGTACTGGATCAAGACAGATCAAGATGTATTCTACAGAACTGGAGCCTTCTATTGGGTCAGGCTAAGGTTGAAAAGGTGCTGCAAAATGCCACATAGCTGGTTCACAGTTCTTCAGGACTCTGGGGCTGACACCATCCAGACTTTATAGTCTAAACCTGACCTACAGAATTCAAAGGTAAATTTGAAAACTATAGATCACCAAAACACCACCATTCCCACATTAGAGGATAATGCATCTTAAGGTATGACTGAGGTTTTTACCATGGTACATGAAGTTATGAATATTTCTAGATACTAGTTAGTTTTGAGTCCAAACCATTCGGTGACTTCTAGGAAACTGAAGATCAAGACAAATTTTATTTGGCAGCATATAAGTGCCTCAGCGTACACATTCAACTCAACAAACCAATGAGTTCAGGAGAGGAAGCTTAAAGCACAAGAACTGATGGCAAGAGTCCATAGCTAAATTCTGATGAAAGTGTTTGGGGCCACCTGAAAAGGGTCTGTGGACAAGAGATTACCTCATAAACTCATGGATGTGGAGAACAAATATTACAGTCAAGATGCTGGATGCTGAACAGTTCCCTTCCTGGGCTGAAAGCTAAATCAGAAGGGGTTTCCACAAAGCGCATAAGAGTCAGCAAACTTACTGCACTTTTCTCTTTCTTTTAACAGACTTGTTTGCTGTCAGGTGAATTTTTACAGGATGAATGTCCCAATAAATGTTGACAACAAATTGAAATTATTTATTGTGGTTCTGAAAACTTTTGAGAGCCACTTTATTAAATAAATTATTAATATGAATGTTAACAGTCTGCGTGGCCATATTCCAAAAAGATACAGTACGGAGACAAGTTTTTGTCTCTTCTTCTGTTTCCCTTCTGTTTTCCATCGTCAATGTCTTTAGCCTTCAGATGTGGTGCAAGTTTGATGAAGCTGCCCAATGTCCCATTGGGTTCTTGAAATGACTGTGAAATACATTTTTTCACGTGTTTTCTATTAAGAAAAAGTAACTAAACTCAGTAAAGGCTGAAAATACGTATAGTTCTGGGCGCATGACTGTTCTCCATTCACTTTGCTTATACTCACTCAGCTCTTTCAAGGCCCCTCACACATACATATACCAACACACACTCTAACTAGGCTCCAGTGAGCTGGAGATAAGACCCAGGGTTTTCACATGTAAATTGTGTGTGGATGGAGAGGAAGGAGGGTGCATTGTAAGCATGGAGCAGCTCTAAGCGGCTCCGAGGAGCTCTGCTGAGGGTTTGGCCAGTACGACCCTTATCAGATGAAGAGCAGGCCTCCGAGGGAAGGAGGGGGTCGGCGAGGGACGAGGGCCGGGTAGAGTTGAGGGGGCCAACGGGAGAATAGAACAGCTGGCGGAGTCACGCGTGCAACCCCAAAAACACACAGAGCCCAGACATGCTGAGCACGGTGGGAATCTCCTCGACTAAGAGATTCACGAAATACGGCCTCTTGTGTTATTATCAGCCGCCAGCCAGCAGGGCTGAGCACATAATCACACACAGCGGTGGCAGGAAGGGATGGACGTTTCACACAATCACAGTTACACACGCTCACAACAACGCAAATGAAATTTCAGATTTCATGCATGCTTTTCACATAATTGTGGAAAAAGAGGAACTATGGTTACCTTGGAGCACTAGATAAGTTACATCAACTTTCAGAAACACACTATAAGCATCTACTTCCTCCACCTGCTTTCAAATTCATTTTCTAATCTTTAAGCAGAAATTCAAGAATGAAACATCAACTTTTAACCTGTTAATCTGTGAATTTAAGATTGTTTTTGTTCCTACAAATATGTGTCACTCTAATTTATCAGCTTGCTATAGTAATTGTAAGTTAACATAAAAAATATATACTTTTAACCTGATATCTGGTGGTATATTTTTTTACACTAACAATGAAGCACCGCTGTGGAATGAAGAACGGATTTCCACCACCGTAGAAAGCAAAATCCAAGCTTTTTAACAAACAGACTAAAGAAAGAACAGTTAATTCTGCTACATTTGGGTAGATGGCATCTCAAGAAGCAAGAATGGAGATGTTCAGATGGCATGAATATAGAGGATGAGTACATTTTATTGGACTTCAACATAGGTTCTGAAGATTTTTCGTTGCAAGAAATTTGATCTTTATTTGCATGAGTTCTGACTTGTTTTCTCTCTCTCTGTATGCACACTATATATAATTAGACAAATGGACAACCAGTTGTATTTGTCTGTATAACATTCCATCAAAATGATCATGTCAGTAGATCAAGGGAATTATAATTTCTTTATATACATGCATTTATGCATATATATGCATAAGTCAGAGCAGCATTAGCAGCTGTAACAGTAACACTTCCCTGGCTAAGAATAGGTCAGGGTGTTGGCTCTTGTCCTCTCCATTCAGGCCAGTGTTAAACACACAAACTAGAATGCTAATGGGTAATCCCTGAGGACCAGCCACCTTTGT